CGACCGATCGATGGTGTATTGATATAGTTAATACTTGGTTGAAGTAATAACTGGCTGATTCAGTTGCTTTGGCTGAATGATTTTGCGTTGTCCAATTGACAAAATTTATATATGTTGGGGCGGATTTCAAGCAGGTAGAACCTATATCACACGTGAACTAAGTTAGCGCGACCGACTTTGTGTTTAAACATTCAAGGGCTATGTATCCCAGTTGGCATGGCCAACTTTGTAGTTGAAAACATTCGAGGCCTATGTGCCCCAATCGGCATGATCGAACCAACTTTGTAGTTGAAAATATTCGAGGGCTATATGGCCTAGTCGACGTGACCGGATCGACTTTGTAGTTGAAAACTGTCGAGGGCTATGTGGCCCAGTCAGCGTGATCGATTTTGTAGTTGAAAACATTTCAGAGCTATGTGGCCTAATTGGCGTGACCGACTTTGTTATTAAAACTTTGCAGCATAATAGTTGAACATAATTTTCTCTGAATAGTTCTTTTTATTGATTCAAGGCTTTGAAGCTGACTGTCGTTGAAGAAGGTGAACATTCCCGCTCATCCCTTTGAAAAAACAAAAAACAAAAAACAAAAAGGAGCTACAGAAACGAAGCTAAGTTGTGGTTTGTCACAAGTGATACCGTTTGAGGTGAATGGCGTTCCAACTGGGGCTGATATCCTTGCTCTCCAATGATTGAAGCTTGTAGGCACCCTTGCCGACTAACTTGGTGATCTTGTACAGGCCTTTCCAAATGGGATTGAGCTTGCTAACGTTTATCTCCTTTGTGTTTGAAAGACTTTTCGAAGGACCCAGTCGACTTCTTTGAATGACCTCACTCGGATTTTACGGTTGTAATGTCGGGCTACCTGTTACTAGTAGATAGTGTTTCTAATCTATGCATGTTCACACAGCTCATCAATGGTGCCCAAGTTGTGGCATAAGTTCTGGCTGTTTGATTCGTTGTTCATCCATTGAAGCCTGGGAGACGGGTGACATTTTTGTTGGGATGACTGCCTCAAAGTCATATACAAGGGAGAAAGGAGTTTTGCTTATGGATGAGCGGGCGGTTGTTCTGTAAGACCATAATACTCCTGATAGTTCATCTGCCCATGCTCCTTTTGCTTTTTGAAGGCGCTTCTTTATAGTTTGCATGACCGCTTGTTAGATGACTCGGCCTGACTGTTTGACTGGAGGTTTTGGGGAGTTGAGAAGCTGAGCATAATTCCTTATGTTTCACAAAAATCTCTAAAGCTAGAGCTGATGAATTAGGACCCATTGTCTATGACTATTTCCTTTGGAATCCCAAACTGATAGATTACGTTCTTCCAGATGAAGCCTTTTACCTCCCGGTCTCTCACTTGGGCGAATTCTTCTACCTCTATCCACTTTGTAAAGCAGTCTATTAAAGCCAACATATACACTAGCTGCCCAGGTGCGGTTGGAAGCTTGTCCACTATGTCAATTCCCCATTTCATGAATGGCCAAGGGGTCAAGACGAAGTTGAGTCATTCGGGGGGAATGTGTAAGACGTTAGCAAATCTTTGGCAGTTGTCGCACTTCTTGAAATATGCAACTGAGTCCGAGTGCATGGTAGGCCAATAAAAACTAGAGGTGATCACCTAGTGTGCCAGATTGTGTCCCTCAGCGTGCCATACTATGTCCCTCAGCGTGGTTTCCACATTCGCCTTCATGAAGCTCTGCTAGTACATACTAGGCTTCTTTTGGAGTTATGCATTTGAGGTATGGGCTGGAGAATGAGTTCTTCGAGAATTATTCCTCATAGATCGTGAATCGGGTGGCCTTAGCCCTCAGACGGCGTGCTTCATTCTTGTTTACAAGGAGCTCATCTTTCTCTAAGTACTTCAGGATCGGAGTCATCTATGAATCGGCTAGCTTTATGTTCATGACCTCTGAAGGTTCGTTGGGGACCATTACTGCCTCGGATGGAGGCTCTTTCTAGTTGGCTGGCTATTGGAGGAAAAGAAGTGAGATGGAAGGGTCAGACGTACCTTGAAGGGCTGAGCTGAGATTGGCGAGTGCATCAACATGTGTATTTTCTGTTCTTGATACTTGGGTGATCGTGAATTCTTTGAAGGCATACTGCAACTACTTCACCAAGTTTAGGTAGGCTGTCATCTTTGAGTCTCTAGCCTGGTAGGTCCCTTGAAGTTGATTGATTACCAGTTGAGAATCAGACTTGACTTCTAACCTTGTTACCCATATCTCTTTCGCGAGTGAGAGACCAGCTATCAAAGCCTCATACTCAACCTCGTTATTTATGCATTTAAAGCCACACTAGATGGCCCATTGGATGATGTCCCCATCTGGAGTAATTAGCACAATTCCCAAGCCGCTGCCGTTTACATTGCTCGATCCATCGACCAAGAGTGTCCACTTCAAAGGCGTCTCACTTGATAGGCATAGTAGCTCTTTCTCTGCTTGAGTAAAGTTGCAAGTGGTGAAATCTGCTATGAAATCCGCTAATACTTGGGACTTTATGGCTGTGTGCAGTTGGAATGAGATGTCGAATTCACTTAGCTCGACCGTCCATTAAGTGAGTCGCCCCAAAAGCTCGAGCTTATGTAGAATCTTCTTGAATAGATATGTAGTGAGCATAATTATGGAATGACACTGATAATATAGTCGAAGGTTCCTAGAGGCGTGAATGAGTACTAGGGCCAGCTTCTCCAGTTGATTGTATCGGGACTCGACATCAAGGAGCGACTTACTCATATAGTAGATTGGTAGCTGCTTCCCATTGTCTTTTCTAATCAGGACGGCTAAAACTGCCAACTTCGAGACTGTCAGGTATGTATACAATTTTTCTCCAATTCTTGGTTTAGAAATTAAAGGTGGATAAGTCAAGTACCTTTTGAGTTGTTGCAGAGCTTCTTCGCAGGCTGGGGTCCATTCAAACTGCTTTGACTTTCGAAGTATTGCGAAGAAGGGTTGACACTTGTCGTGCGGTTGAGAAATGAATCTGCTTAGTGCAACCACTTTTCTAGAGAGACGTTGAACATCTTTGATGCATGTCGATGATGGGATGTTTAGGACAACTCGGATCTGATCAGGGTTAGCTTTTATCCCACGTTTAGTCACCATATATCCTAGGAACTTACCAGAAAAGACTTCGAATGAACACTTGGCGGGGTTGAGCTTCATGTTGTACTTCATCAGAACTGCAAACGCCTGAATAAGATGGTCTAGATGCTGCTCAGCTAAAAGTGACTTGACAAGCATGTCATCAATATATAATTCCATGGTAGTCCCTAGGTGTTCTGCGACAATCTTTTTGACAAACCGTTGATAAGTAGCCTCAGCATTCTTGAGCCCAAACGACATCACTTTGTAATAGTAAGTGCCCCTCTCTGTGATGAATGAAGTTTTCTCTTAGTCGTCCGGATGCATGAGTATCTGATTATACCTTGAGAAGACGTTCATGAAGCTAAGCAACTCGTGAACGACTGTAGCGTCGATCAGCATATCGATGTGTGGCAAAAGGAATGAGTCCTTGGGCTCTATTCAAGTCTGTGAAGTCTATGCAGACTCGCCACTTCCCATTCTTCTTTTGAACGACCACCATGTTGGCTAGCCAATCGATCGGGGTAGTGGACCTCTAGAATGAGCCCATTATTCAAGAGTTTTTTTACTTCTTCGTTGATCACTCGGTTTCGCTCTAGAGCAAACTTTCATCTTTTTCTGCCTTACCGGGGACAGTCTGGGTTGACCTAGAGATGGTGCATGATTGCTTCAAGATTGATCCCTATCATATCTGCATGGGACCAAGTGAAGTAGTCGTGATTCTCTTGCAAGAAGTTGATCAGTCGCTCTCTGATTTCAAGACTCAACCTTGATCTTATTTGAGTCTTCCGATCAAGGTGATTGAGATAAATATGTACTTTATCCAATTCTTCCATTGAGGGTTAATTCGGCTCGCTGGGTGAGTCAGACTCGTCTGTAATTGCTATAAGGTATTGGACTTTCCTTTGAAGACATTTTTGTAACATTCTCTAAAGGACTCGGGTCGCCCTTGATCTCTCTTACTCCTCATTTAGTAGGGAATCTGATTGTCTGATGGAAAGTTGAAGGGACAACTCTCATGTCATGGATCCAAGGTTTACCTAGAATGACGTTATAAGGTGAGGGGTAATCCATCACAAGGAAGATGGTCTGTCGATTTACTCCACTCGTATAGACAGGCAGGGTTATCTCTTTGATAGTATACTTTGCTCAAAGCTAAATCTGACTAGGATGGTGGGACGCCTATTAATATCTTATTCGTCCATGCCCATTGTCTTAAACACCTCTAAGAAGAGAATGTTGGCGGAAGATCCTCCATCTACAAACACACTCTATACCAGAATATTCGCTATTTGCAACGAGATAACCAGGGCATCATAGTGCAGGGCTGCCAAGGTGGCTGGCTCATATTCTTTGAACTGGATGACTTGCTGAGTAGGCTTCTGTGTGGATGGATGGGAAGAACGAGCTTCCAAATGATAGTTTGCTCGGGGTATGCCTTTTTGCCGAGGAGTAGCTTACTTCGCTAATCTCTAAACCATCTGATATCATATTGTAGAATCCTTCCAGCTTTGTGTCAGGTAGAGGGGAGGACCAATTCTTCTCGTTTGTATTTTTTATTGTGCTTTTACCTTTATCGGTCAATAAGTCACGAAGATGCCTTCTCTTAAGTAAGGTCGCGACTTCCAATCTCAAAGCTATGTAGTCGACAGTATTATGTTTGTGGTCATGGTGGAATTCGCACCACTTAGTAGTGTCTCTCTTGACATTCAATCTCAGCTTGGGTAGCCACTTAACTATTGGATCCATCCCCTTCATTATGACAGCCACTTATGCTAGCTTGACATTGAGGTTGTACTCAAGAACCACGAACTAAGAAGAGCTGGAAGGTCTATATGTAGGCTGAGGTGGTGGCCAATCATACGGTTTCTGATTGTTTTTGTTGGAATTCCGTGCTGGGACTGAGTTGTTTGCTTCATATTGTCATGTTTCTGGGCACCTCTCACTACGATTCTGTCGACGTTCATTGTAGGATGTGTACCTTCTACGATTTACCTCATTTTCTTCCCACCGTATCTGAATGATCACTCGGGCCAGGGTGTCCTCCATTGAATTGCAGCCCAATTTAGTGAGGTCTTTATAGAGTTCCCTATCGAGAAGCAATTCCTTTCTAAAAGCATCTACTGTAGTTTCAGGATGGCAAGATGGGATTGGTATCTTTTCTTTATTGAACCAACTGACGTACTCACACAGCAGCTCTCCTCTTTTTTGATAAATCTTGTATAAGTTGGATGATAGCTTGTCTAACTTCTTGCTACTTGCAAATTGCTCAATGAATACGTCGGTGAGCTGAGCGAATGAGCCTATAAAGTTGTTGGGGAGGTTTGTGTACCATTGAAGGGCTGGCCTTGATAAACTAGAACCGAAGCTCTTGCACATGCATGCTTCCCTAAGGTCCCAAGGTATGGAAATGGCAAACATCCTCTGTTTGTATGAAGCTATGTGATTGTCTGGATCAGTCATTCTGTCATATGGTTTCATATTTGGGATGGAAAATTTGGGGGCACTCAGCTAAGGCTATGGAGTCTACGAAAGGTAACTCGACATAATTATGGGGAATGCTCTTCTTGGCTAAGACAGGTACTCTAGGTATCATCTCATCATAGCTTCCATGTCAGCCAGCTTTTTTTCTAATATCTATTCAAGAGGGGAGGCTGTAGACAAAAGGTGTGGTTCATGGTTTGGGGTTGTGTGTTTCTTTCACTCGGTCTGGTAAGACGAGCCGAGTCGCTGTGGTAGGTTTAGTGGTTATCTTGTGTTTTTAGGATTCCATTCATCCCTTTAGGGTGAATCATCCCAAGTTTTATTGTTTGGGTACTTCTACCAGCATGGATGGTTAAAGGTGTAAGCCGAGCGGTGTTTGGATGGATCGATCGGTCGACTCGTGAAGGTGATCCGAGCTAGAGGGGTCTTGGATGTATTGTTGATCACTGAAGCTGAAGGGTTGGTCAAGATTGGTGATATTTGGTGGCCGGTGGCTTAGGACGGTTGAAGTGATTTGGTCATGGGTAATTGAAGGATCGGCTGATAAGGCGCATGTTTGCATGGCTAAGCTTGTTGTATCTGTAACGATGGATGCTAGTCCATCCGTCATGGATGACTGGAGCTGGGAAGACTAGGGGTCAGAAACTGAGATTCTAGGGTCTGGGGTTGTTAGTCGCTGCATGGGGTTTATCGAGACGCGAAAGCGGTTCTTAGGTATTTGATTGAATGGGAAATCAAGAGAATAAAACTGGTTTACCTTTTGCTTTGATTTTCAACCCGAATGTTGTTATTCTTGGCTTCCAAAGCTGTGACTTTGTCGGCTTATTGTTGCATGAGCGCCGAAAGAACCTCGACCTTAGTCACGAGATCTGCCGAGGCTGTATCCGTGTTTTTAGCCATTGCGTGACTCTTTGTAGAGCAAGATTTTGAACAGAGGTCGATTGCTAGAGGCCCCGCAGTGGGTGCCAAACTATAGATGCTAAAATCTACGGTTGCGAAAATAGGGTTTGATCCCTTGCGGTTAAGGCCACTGACAATCCGCTGTACCTGCACACAAAGCAAACAAGCATGGAGGTTACTTGGACACCAGTGTGGTGTCTGCCATAGGCACTCTGATGCTCAAGTCAGTAAGGCTGAACGGGGTAATTTAGTGAGGGTAAGGGAAGGAAGGGTTACCAGAGGTCAAGTCGGAGACTAGAACCACGACGTGGTAGGATAACTCCTAGGATTAAGAGCTTGGGTGTTGGTAGGTGATATTGAGGCTGAATGCCTAAACAAAGGAGTGACCTCTGTTTATATAATAGTTGTAGGATCTTTGTATCCTGATAGGACTCTGAATCTTTAAGGGAAGAGGTCTCGTGAATATGAAAGATCTTGATTCACTTGACTTAATAGTAACATGAGTCTTAATTTGCCTAAGATACGGAATCTTAGGCGTTTAGGATAGATTGAAATAGGAAGTGTTACTTACCTTGGTCTAGAAGGCCTAGCCTTAGGTGAGCCGCTGGAGTCGCCCATTTTGGAAGAAGGCTCGACCCAAGTCATGAACTCTGATGTTGGCCGAACAAAAATTGGATCATAAGCTTGGGCTTCTGTAGTGGAATAAGCTTTTATGGGCCTGATAAGGCCCCAAGTGATTTTGACCCCCACAAGTTTTTAATTGATCTTCTAGACTCTAGAGTTTTAATTGGAGGATTGAGACTGTTTGGATGAAGAGAAAAACGAAAGTGAAAGAAAAAAAAAATGTACAAAATTGAGACCACGGTGAAATTTTTAATCAAATTAGTGGGTTTGGAAAATCAGTTCCCAGTTTTATGATAATTTGGGCTAAATAAGCCCGGCCCAAGGCCCATAACAGTAAATTTAGAGTTGAAGCTTAGGTCATAACACCAAGACGTCAAATAGTATTGGTGGTGACCGGCACTTTTCAATCTTCGTTTTGAGTACCGAAACTCCGAGACACAGCGAGATGGCGTCAAACGCAGCGGTGCCGTTTTGGAGAGCAGCAGGGATGACATACATTACATACTCTAACATTTGTGCGAATCTGGTGAGGAACTGCCTCAAGGAACCCCATAAGACTGAAGCCATCAATCGCGAGAAGGTTCACTTTTCAATCTCTAAGTGGGAAGGTGGAAAACCCCAGAGGCCTAGTACGTTTTTTTCTCAACCGGATCTACTTTTTAGTTGATTTTTTCATTTGGTTCTTTGGTTCTTTGGTTTTTGTTTGTTTTTCGATGTTTTGAGCTCGAGAAACCCTAGCTTTGCTAAATTGGAAATGGAAATTTAGGAACAATCCCATCTGTAGGATGCTTAGTTATCGATTTATTCCAATTATATGGGTCGTTTTCTATTCTGGGTTTTTTATTTTTTCAGTCTTTGAAGTCGAAAAACGTAGACTTTGGTAGATAAAAATTGGAACTTTTAGAGGATCCAATCTGTGATAGTGTTGAATTGTTGATTTATATTTATTGATTTGGGTGGGTGGGTGGGTGGTTGATCTTTCTCTGTTTGAAATTTGAGAAGCCAATTCTTTGTTAGATAAAACATGAAAATTTTGAAATATGGAAGTCAGGGCATGAGTTAGTAATGGTGATTCTTGTTGCCTTGTGGATTTGGCTTAATTTATTTGGTTTTAATTAATTGATTGGTGAATTGTTTAGGAATTACAATATGTGGCTTATAAGCTGTTGTGGAGGATTGTCCACATTTAATTGTGGGTTTCTAAAGAAAAATGAGGGTTATTTTTTATTAACCTCAGTTAGCTGTTAGCTACTGGAGAATCAACCTTTGTCTTTTTACTCGCGTCTTATATATCCCTTTCTTTATTTTGTAATGTTGCAGCATATTAGATTAGCTACGTGTGACAAGTGCAAAACATGTTATGCATTCAATGGTTTTGAAGCAGACTTGTAATGACATAGCTTATATGTACTTTAGTTTATAGTTCATGATTTGGAGACTTGCAATTTCTCTTTCATTACAGACATTGTTTCTGGTTTTGCACTAGTTTTGGGGATGACCTGACCTTATGGCTATTGATTCTTGCCCTTTGTTCTTCTATTTTCGTTGGCTTTTATCTGATTTCGGCTAGCATCCGCTTTTTTGGTATTGTCTTTGTTGATTCTAATGGATGATTGGTGTGGTAAGTGGGGCCTAACATTTCTCAACCAAATTGTAATCATGTTATCATTTCATGCCCTGCTTTCCTTCTAGAGAGGTCCAGTTCGTTTGTAGACCATTTAACAGTCAAGCTCCTTGCATGATTAATTTCTGCCAACTTGAGAGGATGATTGGGCCAATTCAAATGGAATTGCTTGGCTTTCAACACATTGAAGTCTTTTGCTGGAATCATCCCTTATGAACATACATTAGTTCATTTTATTTAGCTTCACTTATGCTTTTACATGGCTGAATGATAGATTCATAGGTTGGATGTGATTATTGGAGCCTCCATTTGAAGGAAAGAAAAAAGTTAAGCTTTTGTTATTAGACAAGCCTAGATTTTAGAGGCTTTGTGACGGACAAAGGGAAGTAAAATATGGAGGAAAACATATATTCACATATACTTATTATTGGTTGAGAATCACTTTGCTTATAATGTGGGAAGTAGCTTTGGTCTTATGGAGATGTTAGGTGTTGGCTGTTTTTAGGCTATTTGGTGTTTAGGGGATAGAAGTATTTTTTAATACTCTAGTAATAAGGGTTGGTTTCTTATGAGATATACCTCAAATCCTTGCATCTTAATGGGCTTTGGTTTCCTAACAATTTCAAGATTTGTTATTCAGATAATTGAAAATTAGTTTTAGCTTAAGTTCGGTGTTATTGTGTTTTTCATCAGTGGTGAGATTTTGGTCATTAGTGTTTGATCGTAGGTCATTATCACTGTTACTTTGACTTTTATCATTAATTACTTTTCTTACTTGTTTCTGATGAAAAAAATATTCATATGAAGGATCAACATAATTACCTCAGCTAGCAATTTCTTCATTATCTCAGTATTACCTGCATATTGAATGGAAGTAAAGCTAATACATTGCATGAGCACTTAAATTGTTCCTAGAACATGTATTGCTTTCTCTGAAGCCAGTGATCTACCATTTAGGCATTCTTTATATATATATATATATATATATATATATATTTCATTCCACTTTCCTCTAGACAAGTAGTCTGATCACTTACTTTATGGTTATTTTTATCAGCTATTCGATCTGATTCACCTGAAGCATGAGTTGGGATGGAGAATTGCTCTTTGAATGTCATCATGGAGTGATACATCATTTACTCGGAAAACCTCCTTCTGTTTTGTCATTTTGGTAGATTTAATTTTATCAAGTCTTTGATGCTTGGACCTCTCAAACAAGATTTGTATTTCTTGTTTTGCATGTTAATGCATATGTAATAATATAATTGGCATCTGTTTTTTGAACTATACTTTTTACATTAATCTTTTTATGGAAATTGATGGAGTACTCCATTTTCCTTCGTATACTGCTGTAGTATGATGCTGGAGTTGTGGAAATTTTAGCTCTTCCGAAATCAGTAAGATCTGCCTGTATTTACGCTAAACCCCAACAGAGTAAACGAAAATTATCTTCTTTTTTTCTTTTTGATAACAAACATGAATTTTCTTAGGTGGTGCTTTGATAACAAGTCCAGTAACCCTTTTTCAATCAGTAGTAAGATTATGATTATGATTTTAATGTTTCACACCGTTTTATACACATATATATTTTTTTCTTTCATGCATTGAAGCTTTGTTGAACCAGACATGGTAGAAACATAAAATAAGTTTACCAGCATTTGTTGAATCGGAATCTGGTTTTTGGTGGTCAAACTTTAACTGCAAATGTTCAAATTTGCTGCATCAATGCCCTATCTGAGGTGCAAGTTTGACTGACGCGCCTGGCAATAAAAGAAAGACAACACTACCGCCTGGTGGCAAAGCTGCTCTTGGCTCCACCACCTTCCGAAATTTCGATTGATCTTCTCCCAAATTGTACAGGGACAAGTCTGGTTGCATCAGCTCTCATAATTACAGTTTTCCTCTCCCTTATTCTAGATTTCTAGAACTTAATACAAATTAATAAAGATACTAAATAATCACAGCACAACCCTTTCATTAACTCTATAATACTATATAAACGAAAGTTATTTTTCAAAGTAGAAAAAATCTTCTAATTTGATATAGTAAATAGTCGTTGGAATATTATTAATGTATATGTGTTCAAATTGTATGTTGTTGTGCTCTTGTTTGATGTTTGAAACCTGTAACTTACCTGAGATACAAGGTACAGAAAGGCCTAAGTAGATGTTTGAAAACAATTAAAAGAGCACCCCCGAAACCAGTTCCCAAACAAAGAAAACTACAAGGTTAGGAGATTGCTGCTTCAAGATTCAAATGAATGAAGAAAAGGGATATTTTATACAAGTCTGGACGCCCAACTATATAATAGAAACAAAACAAAAACAATATTCTAATTACACTCTTTCATCTTTTACAAGTTTAATTCAATTAGAACCAAAAATACTTGGTTTCATAAAAAATAATAATAATTGAAGTTGCCTAAACTTCAATTAAGTGGAAGAACTTATCTATCCCTCTACAGGCATGTCACTTAATTGAAGTTGCCTAAACTTCAATTAAGTAGAAGAATTTATCATACTCCAAAGCAGAGAAAGTAATTATTCTAATATTGTTTAGAACTCGCCAACATATTTTACCTAATTGATTTCTCTTAATTTTTAGCAAGGAAATACACTGCTCTCTTTTCCATGCCCCATAATGAATTTTGTTGCTTACATTAATATCATAAAACCTATTGAACCAATTCTATTAGAATAGATGTTCATGACCTCGTGTTAACATCCATCACTAAGGCATGCAGAACGAGCTTATAATCTACAAGTTCACAATATGAGCATTGCAGTTTTTATCCATCTGCATTCATTTCAACAGCTCTGCCTCAAGTTCTCCAAGTTTTACCTAGCACACCAAAAACAAAAAAAGGAGATCATGTATAACTGATTAAGTTACTGGCTTCATTTCTAGTAAAAATAATAAAGATCATAACACACCTCTAGGTTATCTATATTGTTGTCAGCTCTTGTTTTAGATTTTATTGAAGGTGTCAAACCTGCTTTAAGCAGTTGATCCTTGAAAAAATATAACTTGCATGCCATCTCCCCACATTTTTTTTTTTTCAGAAGAAAGATAAATCAATAATAGATGGCAGTACATCAAAATATTAAATTTCTATCTAATATCAAGGCAACTACTGAGCCTGAAAATATACAAACATGTTTTAAGTTTTGCAACCAACACATCACTGAAAGCAAAATTTCAGACAGTAACAAAAAAAATGAAAAGAGGAGAAAATTATGCCAATATATAACATATTACCTTCAAAAATTACACTACATAACATGAGAAGGAATACTTAAAGGGCAGTGATTCGGACAAATCTTAGTTCTGATACAACTGTGATAGGCGTATCCTCATTTCCCTATTCTTATTCCGATCACTATTCCTATTCTGGTTACCATTATCATTCTCATCACTATTCCTAATCCTAGTTACTATTCTTATTTCTATTTCTATTTCGATCACTATTCCAGCTTTGGTTACTATTCTGGTTACCATTCTTATTTCCATCATCATTCTTGTTCTGGTTACTACTTTTATTTCTAAAACTGTTCCTGTTTTGGTTACCACCACTCAGTAAACTCTTCAACCCATCTCTTTTCTCTTTCAATACTCTATAGCCCCCCCTTTCCCTCAATTTAGTCATAATAGAACATTAGACTATTTGAAGTTAGACAGGGATAGCCATAGATCTCTTAAAGCACCTAAATCTAAATCTAAGGCAAAACCATGGCCCATAAATCCATATCCAAACCCATACGCCTAATCTAAGACAAAACCACAACCGACAAAACCATCCAACCTCAATCAGTTTGCTCACCTACAATTCAATAGCATAGATGAATCATGTAAATGTCAATAGACAGTGTTCTTTTCTTGTCCCAAAAATTTTAAAATCAAAAGAAAAGAATTAACAGTAACTTCAATAATTTGAACTCCTAATATCACATAATAAAGAAGCTCACAAACCATGTTGTCAAGAGAACGTACCTAAAATCCAAAAATGTAGTGAAGAAAATCGAGCATATCAGGTTTCCTTGTAAGAGGTATACAAAGTTCTTCAGGCAGTCCAGGCAATCCTGGGAAGTATTTCAAAGCTGAGACTGCAGCTCAAACCTGACCACAAACTTTGCAATGTGAAGAATTGCAAAGCAACAAAATAGGAACTTGAGGACTAAAGAAAGAAATAAAATTACCTCAGCGAAAGACAAGATAGCATCTGCCCCAGTGGGAGCATCCAGCGAGATTAAGTTATAAGCAATTAGATCTTCAGTCGTTGCTGCATCAGATCCCATCATTTGTTTCACCTGCCCATAACACAGATGAAAAAATCATATAAGTAAATGCTGCAAAAGAACAAGTATATGATAAGATTAGCGTCTACCATATCACAACATATGTTACTGCAACCTATATCTAAGCAAAAATAATAATGAATCAGGTCAAAGAATTGGTCTCTGTTAGAAAACCACTACTACGCTTTATTAGCGGTGCATCTTACATTTGGGTGAGATTCTTAGTAACCCTTGAAACATTTATTTGTTGATCACTATATTACGTTATAGTACATGATCCCAAGGTGCTGAAATTCAAGTGCATCATTAGCCCTTACAGTAAAGACATATAAATCAACCCTTGGAAAAATTTTGAACTTTCAATTGATAGGTGCTGAAATTTAGAATCTACAAGACTCTAAGACACTAACACCTGTGACAAATTTAAGCGAGTCCACAAAGAGCAAATTCATGCATGCCTGACAAGGCAAGGTGCGTTTATAGAAATAAATACCAACAAAAATAGAGAACTAAATTAGCCCCCAATTTTTTTTTTTTTTTTGGGTATTTGGGGCTCAATAAATATTGATGTAAGGGGATTTATATAATTTTTTAGGAGGTGATTTGTAAATTTTTTAATTAATTATTAAATAAATATAAATGAATGGTGGTAATGGTTTTAATTTAAAGAGATAATTTAATTTTACTTTGCAATGTGAAAATTTAATTTGAACTTAAACAATTAAATAAATATAAATTGATGGTTACAAATTTATATGGTTTTAATTTAAAGAGATAATTTAATTTTATCATAAATATAATGTTCGCAATGTGCAAATTTAATTTAAACTTAAACAATTAAATATTTTTTATTTAATTATTAATTTACATCGTCGACTATTTGAGAATGCTGACTCGGATGAAATTGTGGAAACTAGCACACATAAAATGTCACGTGCCATATGGGCTACAATGGTGAATCGACTTGCATTTTGGTTCCACCCTTGAAGCACGTCCATCTCGCATTTCTCCTCCTTGGCCATGTAGTACATGTCCATTTGCAGATACCACTATAGCTTATTTGGTCGATGTTTGTATGGCTAGAGTTGCTACATCCAGCACCACCGATACTAAGTTCCATATACGTCCAAATGCTTGATCCTTGTTGATGAATGTCTTCATCAGGTTTTTGCTGCTCGTCTCTGATGGGCGTTCTACTGTACCTATTATGATATAAAGAAAAAGGACTTTCCATTTTTATGTTAAATTCTATCAAATAAGAATTATAGTCATGTTCTAAATGCTGGCTTATCTCAATAACTATACAATTAAATACGTTAAATCTAAACCTAAGATCTACAATAAGACCTAATCCATATAAGAATGAAATATCTAACTAATATTTCCGGTATTATGCTTCCATTTCTGAAATAGTTGAACTTAACTCTAGATTATATCCATGTCTGGCAAAAGTTTTAAAAATTTAAAGTAAAATATCTAATGCTAAATTAGTAGTAGGATAATAAATATCACTTAATATATTAGTGGAATTTAAGAAATGTATGAAAAATACTGCAAACTGTCCAATCGGAATCATTGACAACTTCTTAAACCTAGGATCTATAATAAGACCTAATCCATATAAGAATGGAGTATCTAACCAATATTTATGGTATTCTGCTTCCATTTATGAAACAGTCGAACTTAACTCTGGATTATATCCATGTTTGGCAAAAGTTTTAAAAATTTGAAGTAAAATATCAAATGCTAAATTAGTAGTAGGATAATAAATATCACTTAATGTATTAATGGAATTGTAAAAAACTTTAAGAAATGTATGAAAAATACTGCAAACTGTCCAATCGGAATTGTTGACAACTTCATCCGGATAGTTCTTTTGGTTGATGAAATTTATAATTTGTCTTGAGGTTGGCATAGCTTTTTGCAACATCAAGTACGGGGAGTTCCAACGAACAGGCATGTCGCAATGTAACTTCTTCGGTTGAACCGATAACTCTTCTTGGCAACAATATTTGACATACTCATTCCATTTTGTATTGCTACTAACAA